CGCTGCAGGGGGCTCAGCTGAGCTCCAGCCCACCCTGGGCTGAGCTTGGGCAGGCTGAGCCCTGTGCCAGCTGTGCCAGCTGTGCCAGCTGTGCCAGCTGTGCCAGCTGTGCCCCTGCACAGCAGCCAAGGGCAGCTGCTGCTCAGGAAACACCACACGTTCCCAGCTCTGAGGCAGAGGGAAGGGCATCATCGCATTCAGAAAGTGCTGAATGATTTTAATGAACGTGTCTGGGCCTTACCAAGGAACAGAGGAAGGAAGGGAAATTTCTCAGAGGTGGCCCCTGGGCAGCCTCGTGTTTACCCAGCAAGAATTGCCTTGAGGAGGAGCACGGTGTGTCCTTGAGGGAAGGGGGAGCAGAGCTGAGGGGCTGCCTGCTTGGTAAAAAGTCGATTTTTTCTTTTATTACAGCTCAATTCTTCCTTTTTTTTCAAGCAAAGAGGCTTCTCTCGTCCTTTGCAGATAGGCAGGACTGCCCCAAATTATCTCATCAGGATGGAGTGTGCTTCTAAATGAAGCAAGCCCCTGGGCCCTGATCTCCAGAACCTTCTGGGCTCAGGAGGTGACGGCAGCAATAAGAAAATGACTGGGTGCATTTCTGGGCTGCAATTACTGATTCCACACTCTCTGCCATGAGACTGCCTGTCTGTGTGCCAGAATGTCCCAAACTCCTCCTCCCCGTGCCTGGGCACACTCTGCCTGTACCAGGGTGAGCACCAGGAGCTCCTCTCAAGGGCAGGACACGACAGCAGGGCGGGTTTAGATCAGATTTTGGGGAAGTTTGCTCCATGGAAGGGGTTGTAAAGCATTGGAGCAGGGGATGGTGGAATCACCATCTCTGCAGGGATTTCAGAGTGGCCCTTGGGGACGTGGTTTAATGGTGACCATGGTGCTGCTGCTGGTTGGGCTCCATGGTCTTAAAGGTCTTTTCCAACTTTTCCAACTCTGATTTCCTGCTCCCAGCTGGTGTCACCCACCTTGGGGCTGGGAATGGGCAAATTCCCCCAAAGTGCCGTTCCAGTAGTGAGAGGATGGGATGAGAAATGGGATTACTCTGGTTCCTCCTCCCCACAGCACCCTGCAGCCCGCTCTGCTCGGCCTGGAGCGTCCCTCAGCAGCACAAGGCTGGGTTTGGGTTCCTCTGCTGGCTTCCCTCGGGCAGCAGCTCTGTGCTGATGCTGCCCCAGCTGCCTCACCCTCATCACACAGCGCTCCAGGTTATTGTCTTCTCTGGCAACAGCTCTGAACTCCAGCCCTGCTTCTCCCTCTCTCAAGCCCGAGTCCCGCGGGAGCCGTGCAGGGGCAGCGGGAATGAGTTCAGTGGAAATGCTGGCACTGGCTTTTAGCAGAAGCTGAGGTTTCCCCGCAGCACCAGGCAGGGGATTCTCACTCCTGGTGCTGGCTCCAGCATTCCTCACATCCCTCAGGGCCTGGGGGAAGTGCCCAGGGCCAAACCTCAGACATTTTAATGCCTTGAACTCAGTGCCAGCGATGGCCAGGGAAAGCAGGGCAGACACCAGAGTGGTGAGGATAAATCTGTGTCTGATCCCCTCCTTCCTTCTCCTGGCTCTGCCCACCCCTGTCCCTCTCACCTTTCCCTGTCCCTGTCACCTTTCCCTGTCCCTCTCACCTTTCCCTGTCCCTGTCACCTTTCCCTGTCCCTCTCACCTTTTCCTGTTCCTGTCACCATGCAGCCATTCCCAGTTCAGCCGTTCCCAGTTCAGCCGTTCCCAGTTCAGCCATTCCCAGTTCCCAGTTCAGCCATTCCCAGTTCAGCCATTCCCAGTTCCCAGTTCAGCCATTCCCAGTTCCCAGTTCCCAGTTCCCAGTTCCCAGTTCCCAGTTCAGCCATTCCCAGTTCCCAGTTCAGCCGTTCCCAGTTCCCAGTTCAGCCATTCCCAGTTCCCAGTTCCCAGTTCAGCCTCAGCCCCCCCAGCCCCTCAGGTCTCCCCTCGGAGCTGTCACAGTCACTCAGGTTGGGGCTGTGGATTCTCTGCCCGAGGATTCTCAGGTTTCTCTCCCTTCCCCTCCCGCCCCTGGCCCCTCTGTCCCTGCTGCAGGTAAGGGCAGGGTGGGTGGATGTGTTTGGAAAACGCTGGAAATGCTGAAATAATCTCAGAACGTGTTCTCCAAAGGCACCTTTGGCTCACCAGGCCTCCCTGGCTCTGCAATCACCCCAAACTTCACGGGGAAGAACGCTTTCCTCCTCCCTCCCCCTCCTCAGGGTTGTTTTGGAGTGAAATTGGCCTAAATGCAATGACGGGGTTCACATCCAGCTGTAATTCCAGCCCAGGTTATGCTCAGTTCACACCAGAGCTGATATTGCATCGTGACATTCAACCCCATCCAGGCTTTATTTGTATTCCAAAGCCATCCATTGCAAGGACTGCTCTTCATAAGCACAAAGAGCTCCAAAGCATAAATATTTATTTCTTAAAGGTTAAGATTGCCTTAAATCATTCCAGCTTATTTGGTGAGCAGCAGTTATAATTAAAGTAAGCAGTTGAACTCGATCTGCATGTATGAAATGCATAGATATGTGTATATAAATATATATTTATATATACTTGACTCTGGTGCGGATGGAAGCCGTGGGATAATTGCTCCCATCACATCAAAAGATGCACTGATATTGTTCCTGGATTGGATAATAAATCAGCAGAAAGAAGCAGCTGAAATTATATAATGGCAAGTCACGTTTGAGCAGGCGGCAGAAGCCGAGGTGGGGAATGAGCAGAGCTCGTCTCGAGTGCTGGCTGGAATTGCAGGGGATAATTATGCAAGTTATGGAAATCATTCCAGTTTTGGCTGTAGAGAATTGACAGAACCCGAGGATGGGGCTGGGAGCAGCCTGGGACAGGGGAAGTGTCCCTGCCATGGCAGGGGGGCACTGGGTGGGCTCTGAGACCCCTCCAGCCCAGCCCAGGCTGGGTTCTGTGCTCTGTGTTGGGATGTGGTGGGGACACGGGTCCCTGAGAGCCCTCAGGGTGTGTGCGTGGGCTTTTAGAACAGCTTGGAGCTTTCACACGAGTTATTCCGGAATGTGGAGAGGTTGGGGTGGGAACCACGAGTAGCTGGTGGAAGGAAGGGGCAGGAAATCCTGGAGTGTGCTTGGGAATTGTGTGGTTGCCAGTCTGCCCTGAGGCAGGGCTGTGTCTGTGCAGTTTGACATGGGGGCTGCTGCTGGCACAGCTGGATCCAGCCTGGCACAGCTGGATTCAGCCTGGCACAGCTGGATTCAGCCTGGCACAGCTGGATCCAGCCTGGCACAGCTGGATTCAGCCTGGCACACCTGGATCCAGCCTGGCACAGCTGGATTTAGCTTGGCACAGCTGGATCCAGCCTGGCACACCTGGATTCAGCCTGGCACAGCTGGATCCAGCCTGGCACAGCTGGATTCAGTCTGGCACAGCTGGATTTAGCTTGGCACAGCTGGATGCAGCCTGGCACACCTGGATTCAGCCTGGCACACCTGGATCCAGCCTGGCACAGCTGGATCCAGCCTGGCACACCTGGATCCAGCCTGGCACAGCTGGATCCAGCCTGGCACAGCTGGATCCAGCCTGGCATGAGATGGGGCTGTGCCCTTTGGAAAATCCCGGGCCCAGTTAGTCGGGATCAGCGCTGCAGGTGTGAGCTCAGCTCTGGCAGCAGGCAGGAGCTGTGAGGGGCTGGGGAGCCTGGTGTGACAGACCTGCCCTAGCACCAGGCCTGCCTTACTGACTGCTCATGAATAATGCACGTCAGCAAGGCACAGAGATCTGCTTTGGGCCTGGGCCCAGCAGACTAATCCTGGACAAAGCTGCACTTTTAAAGAATTGGCAAAATTATTCCCCGTGGATAGAGTGGGACACAAAGAAGTTGTGATGAGTAACAGAGGAAACCAGAGGAGTGTCATTTAAAATGAGAACACTGGTCCTGCTGTGACCTGCTGGGAGGCCGTTGATCTATCCTGGAAAATTCTTACTTTGAGGGCCACATTTTCATTAATTTGAAATTTCTGGCGCTGTTTATTGGCTGAGAATCCGTGGGCATCGTGGCCAGGACATGAGCTGAGCGCAAACCTCGTTTAACCCCGCAGTGGGGGCAGGAGATGGGTTCAGCAGATGAATTCACTGGATCACTGAGGCTGGAAAAGCTGCCCGAGACCCCCAGCTGCAGCTGCAGGTGCAGCACCGTGCTCACCACCGGCCTCGAGGGTGGGGGAAACAGCCAAGGCTTCTAAAGGGGGTAGGAGAGGCTTTCTGGGGACGGTCTGAGACACAGCAGAGACCTCTATAATCGAGTTAGGGGTCAGGAGTTTATTTCAGGGCTTGGGGGAGAGACAGAGCCTGCTCTGAGCCAGCAGATAGAGCTCAAAGCGGGCTCGGAGAGAACAATAAAAAAGGGGGTAAAATATGAATATGTGAGCTCAAGACTGAAGATTGCTACGAAAGAGAGTGACAGAACAGAAGTGAGAGAGCCAGGGAAAAAGAGAGAGAGAGAGAGTAGCAAGAGAGCAGCAAGAGAGACCAAGAGTTAAGAGCTAAGAGAGACCAAGAAAACTAAGAGAGCCAAGAGAGACTAAAAGTGCTAAGAGGGCTAAGAGTTAAGAGTTAAGAGAGAGAGTTCTCTTTTACAATTACTTATGTAATCTATACATTTGAATATTCTATTCCTTCACTAACCAATCTTTCTAAGTGTACTAATACAGTAACATTTGAGTGTGACCTATAGAAATTGCTGCTTTTGCATATTTTTAGTTATCTCAGGGTCCTTCAGACCTTTCCTTATGAGGCTGGGGAGAGGGGTCTCAGTTTTATTGGGGGACAGAATGTGTCCTGGCACACCAGCCTGGTTTCTTTGAATTATTCAAACCCTGCTTTCATTTGTATTTCTTCCTTAGCCTTTCTGGCTAAAGAGTCATATTTATAATTTCTTTCTAATTCTACCTTCCCAACAAAAGGGAATTTTTATTTCCTAGGGACAAATTCCATTCTTCCCTTATGGTTTGCTCGCAGGTTCTGCCTCCAGGCTGGACACGGCCGTGGGCCCCTTGGTGCCAGCACAGGTCACCCGTGTCACCGCCGTGGCCGCGCCCGCCGTCACCCTCATGGCCACCAACCTGATGGACCCTGCACGGGCAGGTGGGTGCTGCTCCATGTGCCCATCCCAGGGCTGGATTGTGGCTGACACTCCTGCAGGGATGGGCTCCCTGAGGACCCCCAGGTTTTCCTTTGCCTGGCCTGGGGCCACTCAGGTGCTGCTCTCGTCACCTTGGAGGCACCACGGGGCCCTGAGGGCACCTGCCCAGCGCTGTTCTGGGGGAAAAAAGGTGCTTTCCAGGAATTCCTAGGGATCAGCTCAGACATAACCTGGCTGACCTCCTCCCTGGGGGTTGCACTGTGTTACCAGGGGAGCTGGGGCTGCCCCAGCCCTGGAAGGGTCCGAGGCCGGGTTGGGTGGGACTTGGAGCAGCCTGGGACAGTGGAAGGGCTTTAAGGTCCCTCCCAACCCAAACCAGGCTGTGGTTCCAGCAGGGCAGTGGCAAACAGCACCTCTTGGGCAGTGCTGGCTGTGTGCCTGGAAAAGCCAGCCATGGAATGGGTTTGTCCCTGAACTCCAAATTCCAACAGGGAATTTGTCTGTGTCATTCTCCTGTTCCCATTGCAAATCCCCTGCAGAATACCAGGGAGGATTGTGGCAGGAAGAAGAAAAGCTCAGCTCAAGGAGATCTGTTCTGAGAGGGGAAAGGAGCACGTGGAGGGCACAGCAAGAATGGTCAGAGCAGAAAACAACAGCACCCATGGGGAAACCAGGGTGGGAGGGCAGGAGCTGGAGTGGAGCTGTGTCCCTGGAGCAGTGCTGAGGGCAAGGTGGGATCCAGTGCCTGGAGCAGGAACCTGGCTGTGGAGCCAGAACTGGGATCCCAGTGCCTGGAGCAGGAACCTGGCTGTGGAGCCAGAACTGAGATCCCAGTGCCTGGAGAAGGAACCTGGCTGTGGAGCCAGAACTGGGATCCCAGTGCCTGGAGAAGGGACCTGGCTGTGGAGCCAGAACTGGGATCCCAGTGCCTGGATTGAGGACCTGGCTGTGGAGCCAGAACTGGGATCCCAGTGCCTGGAGAAGGAACCTGGCTGTGGAGCCAGAACTGGGATCCCAGTGCCTGGAGCAGGAACCTGGCTGGTGGGACCAGAACTGAGATCCCAGTGCCTGGATTGAGGACCTGGCTGTGGAGCCAGAACTGGGATCCCAGTGCCTGGATTGAGGACCTGGCTGGTGGGACCAGAACTGGGATCCCAGTGCCTGGATTGAGGACCTGGCTGGTGGGACCAGAACTGGGATCCCACACTTGGATTGAGTTAGACCCAGCAGAGGAGGAGCTGGGATCTGTCAGGGGAGGTTTCAGGCTGATCTCAAACACCAAAGCAGTGAGGCTGTAGGAAGAGGCAGAACTGACCTGTGGAGATTCTGGGGGAGGATAAACACCACAGTGTGGGATGTGTGTACTTAATAAATCCAGTTCTTGGGAGCTTTTAGGAGACAAAATGTTAAACTTTTTTGATATTAATGGAGGTTTGGCCTCTGCATATTTTTACAAAACAAATTTTTATGATGCCTTGTCCACAGCTCCTCATGGCATGAATCCATCTTCCCTCTTCCCCTCCCTCTCTAATTCTGCTTTTAATGAGATGTTTGTGATCACACCCAACATCCTCTGTGCTATACCCAAGGAGTTTTGCTGCTTCACCTTTCCTTGCCATGCTGTGAATTATTCATGTCCCTGTACCTGCCGTGGAGCCCTGGAGAAGCCTCTTTAATCAGGAGCATTTATCTCCATCTCCTGCTCATCCTCAGCAGCTGAGCTCACCAGTGCTGCTTGTGCTGCTGAGCTGGGGCTGAAAAGGAGGTGGATGTGCCACACAGAACCTCAGGATCCAGAGTGCTTTGGGCTGGGAGCTCATCCCCCCCTGCCATGGCGGGGACACCTGGGGACACCCCGAGGAGTCACACACACCTTGTCCTGCTGCAGGAGGGATGGGCCAGCTCAGCTCACACCCCAGATGAGGAGCACAAACACACAAAAACCCCCAAAACAAGAAAATCCTGTGTTCACTGACATCGTGCTGTGCTCGCTCCTGTGCTGGGCTGGCTCGGTCTCTGTCTCACCCCTGCTGTCCCCAGAGGCCTCGCTGCTGTCACACCTCTGCAGGCAGCAGACACTTCAGCATTTCAGGATGGAGACAGCTGTCTGTAAAGGAGAGGGAAATGTTCTTTCCCTGCTTCCCCTGGAAATCAATCCCTCATTCCCTGGGGATTCCTGCAGGGCTTAGCCGAGCACAGCAGGGTCTGCGGGCTGGGAGCAGGGGGTGCCCAGGGGGAAGGGGAGCAGAGGATCAGGGAATTAATTATGCTAAATTAATGCTTTGGGCTGGGAAAACCCTCTGAGATGGTGGAGGTCAGCCAGGAGCCCAGGCCTGCCCTGCCCGTGTCCCCAGGGTGTCCCCAGGGTGTCCCCAGGGTGTCCCCAGGGAAGGCAGGACCCCACACTCGGTGCAATAAAGCGGTTCCATGTGTTCCACTGAAATGTGGTGTTTGGAGAGATGAATCCTGGGCACAAGGGGGGTGTGTGGATAACGGAGGAAGGGGTGGCAGGAGGAGGCTCAGAGCCACGGGGCAGCACTTTGGGTTTTCTTCAGCACTTTGGGCTCCTTGTGAGTTTATTTCAGGTTAAAAGAGCTCCTTTCCCCCCACAGATCGTGGCAAGGAATCGAGCAGAGCCTCCCGCCCGCCCACGCTGATCCTGCACACGGAGAGGAAGAGTGGCCCCACGGGCAGTGACAGTGACAAGGTCAGTCCTGGAGCCTCCTCCCGAGCCTTTGGGACCGCTGAGCTGCACAAACCCGGCCCAGGGGCAGGATGGGCCTGCCTGGAGCTGTGCAGGATCCTTCCCTGCAGTGCATTTAAAGAGCCTTGGGCTGAATTTATCTCAGGGCTGTGCAGGAGCTCTGGCATTGTCAGGGATGCTTTGGTCCCCATGGAATCCCAAAATGGTTTGGGTTGGAAAGAATC